GAATGAAACATAAAGATGTAGACTCAATTGCAATAAAAGTATAAGGATTAGGACTAGACTCCAATTGCAATAGAAAGATATACCAGGATTAGGACGCTATTGAAAATAAAGTAATAAAGAGTTTAGGTATTAAATGGTAAAAATTGAAAATTTAGGTACTATTTGGTAATTTGGAATACTATAAGACTAGATTTGGAGGTTTACCCGAAAATTCCATATCACTTTACCGGTTCTCCCATATCTTCCTTTGTCTTCTTCCTATCACTTATACCGTTCTCCATCTTCCTCGCTAATAGATCCATTTTCTACCTTAATATGTCAGCCTTTCAAGCAATTAAATTCAACCTATAACTCTATCCCAATGTTAAGTTGAAATTTCTTGAATTATCATAATTTAGTGGAGATCTGTGGATGATTTAATGAAAGAATGTTATTATGTAGTACGGAGAGATGAGCTTCAAATGAGAAAGAGAAGCGAGCTAAGAAGAAAGGTTGAAAGCTTTTTGTTTGAAAGGTTTGAGTATACTCTTTAGTTTAACAAATGTTTCTACATGAGAATATCTGTACGTTGTTGGATGATGGCGAATATCAAGGTTGAAAGCTTTTTGGTTGAAGGTTTGATATCTCTTTTAGTTTAACAAATTTTCTTACATGAGAATATGTGTAGTGTGATGATAGGGATAAGATATGTTGTTGAATCTTGAGTAATAAGGTTTGAGAATGTTGACTAAGCATGGGATGCATTGAATAAATGAATTGGATATTGATTTCATGCTGAAACAGGTTTGTTGGAAAACTGACCAGTAACTTTAACCTGAATTTGAACCTATTTACCGATGGAATTAGGAAGTGGTATAAAAGACTTATTTGTTCCTTTATGTTTTAGCTGTCTATGAGCCTTGGAATCACCTAAATTGAAATTATAAATTGAAAGATATGCCCAAAATAATACAAATTGTGCAGGCTGGAAATCAAAATCTGGGCGGATTGGAAGGTGCTACTTTAGCTCAATATTTGACTACTTTACCAACATATTTCAGTGATGTCATAGAAGAAATATTTGTACCCTAATGTGTTAGCTAATAATAGAATTTAGAATCACCTAAATTGGCCTTATAAATTGAGAGATGTGACCAAAATGGTACAAACTGTGCAGACTTAATGTTGATGATGGATTGATATTGAAGAATGTGATTGAGATTTGATATATTGGAGTTGATGGAATGTTGAGGTTGGGTTTAGAAGTGTTTCTTATTTCACATGTTTTTAATTAAGTTTAATTTTTAGGAGAAACTCTTGCAGTTTTTCTGCAGGATTTTTCAAATAATTTTCTAAGTTAAATCATGGGCTTGCTGGACTTTTGACACTTTAGTTTTAAGTTTGATCTGTATGCTAGGTTGGTACTTCTGACACTAGATATGGCATCCGCCACCTATTCCTCCCGAAGTGGGCAAAGAGTATTACAACGAGAAAAACTATTTCTTGTAATTTTTATTTAATTCTGACAACATGCTCATATTATTGTTTTAAGACAATAAGAATAACAACATAAAATAATTAAATGACATATATTCCTTTGAAATTTAAGAAAGAAAAATAAAAAATAAATAATAAGAGTACCAAACTCAAAGAAGAGTGATTGGAAGTACAGAACCTAAATTTATTTAGGACAGTGAAAGAAAAATAATGGATAAAAGTTTCAAAAAATAAAACTCAAAATGGTGACTGACCATTTGTTATAATTTATAATTTCTTTTGCATTTTTCTCATATTTAACAATAAAATTTTTATAATACGAAATTTCTGTTATTATTTATATATTTTTATGGTATTGTGAGTTAAAGATTTTAATATTTTTTAATTAATTTTCAATATTGTAATCAAACAATAAAAATAAGTCATTTGGAAAATATTTTTCAAGAAATTCCTTGAAAAATATTTTCCAATATTAAATTATTTTCTAGAAATAAATGGGGAATATATGCCAAAATCAAACCCAAGATACCGTGTAATTACTATTTGAATGATAGTTGTTGCAGTGGGTGGAGTGTTAATCCTTGGTTCTTATCATAAGTATAACATCAAATAATCAAGTTATAGAAATGAACTACAAGCCCTTTGTCCTCGGAGAAACTTTAGGCTGGCTCTATATTAATATATTTGGGTAATCTTTCATTAGATAAACATAAATTGTGTAAATGACATATAATGAAGAGGGCGAACTAGTCATTTTATGTTAAAAGTAAGTCAAATTTATTATAAAGCCAACTTTTCATTTTTGAATACTAAATAATTTATAAAGAGGATTGGTAATGAAAATGGCTATTTTATGAAAAATTTACTTGCGTAGACCAAATCCATCTCCTCATCCATGTACGAAACTAATGAAAGTATACATTTTTGTTGAAATGAGAGAATTTTCTCACTTCCGCTTAACATTTCTAATTTACGTTTTGAATTAGATGGTCCGTGTTTTTCTATTCTAAATTCTATTGAGCAATTTAGCCTTTTTTTTTTTTTTTTGTAATTTTAATTTTCGCTAATTATTTTTAATTCTTTTTGTACACATGCATTATGTTTCACATATTTATCGGATTGGTACATGAGTGACATAGATGAATATAGTCTATCTAAGAATTTTTCGTATGTCGACATGATATTTTGGGAATATTTTGTGTTTAAAATATTTTGTGTCGACATGAAGTGGAGGAGATTGGTCTTTAAAATCTCATACCGATCAATAAAGATTTGTATGGATTACAAAAAGACTTATTATCTTTACAATATTATGAAAACGTGTATCATGCTATCAAGAATTATAAGTGGACTAATGTCAAAAAAAAAAAAAAAAAAAAAAAAATGAAACGATCGTACATGCTATTAGAATTATAAGTGGACTAATGTCAAAAAAAAAAAAAAAAAAAAAAGAAATTATAAGTGGAGCTTATCCGTTCACAAAGAAAATAGCACTAATACATTAACAAGGGTAGATCCGATAAATCCGGATCTGTTCTGAAAACAGCTCTTAGCATCCCGAGTGTTTTAGAGGACTAAACCCAATTCACGGTAATAAATCATGTATTTTTTTTTTTATTTATTATTTTATATATATGTCCTATCCAGAATAGGTTGTGGGACAAATTTTAAAGTAGAAAAAAAAAAAAAAAAAAAAAAAAGAATTATAAGTGGACTTATCCTTCACAAAGAAAAATGCACTATCCTTAACAAGGGTAGATCGATATCCGGATCTGTTGTAAAACTACTCTTAGCATCCGAGTGTTTAGAGGCTAAAACTCCCATTCTGGGTAATATCAATGTATTTTTTTTTTTATTTATTATTTTTATATATGTCACTATCCAGAATAAGGTTGTGGGACAAAATTTAAAGTAGTCAAAATTTACTTTGATTCTCAGTTTTGAATTTAATAATTTTATTTTTTAGATGGTCTTTTGTTTTCAAATTTTAATTTTTTTTTATAGAAAATTATTTTTCTCAAAAAACGAAGAATTCTCGTATTTGGATGACAATAAGTTTCCCGGTAAGTGGAATAATGATGATAATAAATTTTATTAATATACACTTCGTTCTATTTTAAGAGCAACATTTTATGTTTTCATTTAAGAAAATAATTGGAACACATTGATTTTTTCTAAAAATACATAATAGAATGCCTAAATTGTCCTTATTAAAATTAAAAGTTCTCCATTTAATTTTACTATAAAATCGCTACTAATTTTATCTCATATTAAAGCATCATCCTTAGAGCAGTACTTCTATTTCATTTTCTAATTATGTGTAATCAAAATTTTAATTCAACTACAATTAAAGAAGAGAAAAAATAAAATGTAAAATATTTTTAATTATTTTATCTTAAATTTTATATTTTAGATTTTTAGATTTTTTATTATTAACGAAAGTCTTTAGTGGTTTAGTAAGGGAGAGATTTGATAATTGGAAAAATTTTTCACATCATGAACTAAAAGAAAGGAAAAAATAATTTTAGAAAAAAAAAAAACAGATTTGAGTAATTAAAAACTAAAAACAGCTTTATAATAAATAAAAAAAAACTAAAAAATAAACAACTGTAACAAACGGCTTTCAAATACTAATTCAATTGATTTTAACCAAATGAATTCTTCTACCAACCCACTATCAAAATTTGCACATCACTCCACTAAGTAAACGTTTATTATTTTTTTTTTTTTATTTTCTGCAAAAGTCTGAAATGCCATTGACCAACTCTTCTTTATGACCAAATCACTCCACTAAGTAAACGTCTGGTATAAAAACCACAACTACATAGGGGAAGAAATAATTCATTTTCAACATCCTCCTTTCCCATTGAGGCGTTGTTTGGTGTAATGAATTCTATAAATGAATTTTCATATGTTTATGTTTGTTAAGAACAAAGGATGTAGGCATGGGATTACTGAACTTCTATAAATCTCTAGTGTCCCACCTTCTTACTCCCCATCTTCTTACTCTTGAGTTGGTACGAGGAATATCGTTTCAATTAAGGCCTTGTTTGGCGTAACATATTTGTTAAGAACAAAAACATTCAATTTTTAAAATTGGCTTAATCAATAAATTTGATTCTGAACTTTGACTGATTACCCTTGTGGCCCCCTGATTTGGAGAAATCAACTTGTATATTATACTCTTTAACTTTTTCATTAGTTTTACACAATTTGAAGAAATTTCTTACAAGGATATCATTCTAAGAAGAAAAAAAATTCTTTAAAAAAAAAAAAAAAAAAAAAAAAAATAAGAAAGTTAAGTGACGAAGAGGTAATACAACGGTAATGGTTGTCTTCTACTAATGTATGGTGTTACTATTTTCCTTTGGTTCTTCTTAGGAAAGAAGGGCTTGGCGAAACACATGCCTTGTTGTTGGCGCTTATTGAGTACTTCATGTGCTCGTTAACTAAGTTGACCAGCAGCAAGAGCAACAATCAGAGAGAACTCCACGCCAGAAACAGAGCCAGCAAAGCTATGGACAAAAAAAAAAAAAAAAAAAAAAAAAGAAAGTTAAGTGCAAAGGGAGTATACAAACGGTAATGGTTTCTTCTACTAATGTAGGTTATTATTTCCTTTTTGGTTCTTCTTAGGAAGAAGGCTTGGAAACATCATCTTTGTTGTTGGCTCTATTGTACTTCATGTGGCTCTTAACAAGTTGACCAGCAGCAAGAGCAGACATCAGAGACAACTCTCCGGCCAGAACAGAGCCAGCAACTATGGAGGCTAAAAGCCTTGAATTAGCTCCTGGCATCTCTTTGCTCGCACCCTTCACCCCAAGTAGGTTCAAGCACGCTGACTGAGATGTAAGCTGCGTTCCACCTCCCACCGTGCCAACCTTTAAGAGTTTGATTCATTTATAAACAATTAGACAATAGAAACACAAAATATCATTTGAAGTTGTTTTCCAAATCTAGTGAAATCTATTCACTGCTAAAATATGGATCATATAAATTACTAAGCGATCAATTACCTCAATAGAAGGCATAGTGACAGAGACATGAAGATCCTGTCCATCGTTAACAGCTTCCATCATGGTAATACAATGTGAACTCTCTACATTCTGTGCAGGATCTTGACCAGTGGCTATGTAGATAGCGGTCACAATGTTACTAGCATGAGCGTTGAAACCACCTAAAGCTCCAGCCATTGCAGAACCAGTGAGGTTCTTCAGCATGTTAAGCTCCACCAATGCCTCCACATTCGTCTTCAACACTTTCTTCACCACATCACCCTTTATAATGGCCTCACACACTACTGACTTGCCCCTTCCTTCAATCCAGTTCACAGCTGCTGGCTTCTTATCCGAACAGAAGTTACCTGTGTTATTCAGTTGTAGTTGTCACTATTTAAAAACTTATTCAAGTTATGGAAAATCCATTTAACAAAAGACTAAAAAAGAGAGATTAAATTGCATAACTCCTTATAAAAGAGTGTTTTTTTTTTTTTTAACTTTTCTCCAACCTCAATAACTTTCACTTCCAAAAGTGGCTAAACAAACAAATATGGGCTTATCCAATGAAAATGAAGCATAATCAAACAAAACTTACCAGAAATGCCAATGATATCCATGTCAGGGAAATCGTTCTGGAGGAAATCCAATACATTTTGGACACCTTTAGAGACCATATTCATACCCATAGCATCACCAGTGCTACAGCAAAATCTTAAATAAAGGTTCTTTCCAGCAATAGCACACTTGATAGTTTGAAGCCTACCAAATCTGCTAGATTTGTTAAAAGCAGTGGAAACAGCCTCAAAATTGGCCTGATCTTCTAAGTATAATTTCAACTGGGCAGCTCTTTTTGCAGTCCCAAATCTAACAACAGGTGCTCTGGTCATCCCATCTTTCAATAGTACGCTTATGGCTCCACCTGATAAGTGAATGGCTTTGCAACCCCTGTTAGTACTGGCCACTAAGCACCCTTCAGTTGTAGCCATAGGAACTGAGTATTCCTTTCCGTCAAGTAACAAGGGCCCAGCAATTCCTACTGGAATTTGGACATACCCAATTGGCATCTCGCAACACTGACCTAAAATTGACTCGTAATCAAATCCCTCCAACGGTAAACCAGAAAGAGATTTTCCAGTTATTCTCTGCAAAGCCTCTCGCCTGATTGCAGCAGCGCGCTTGCAGTCCCCTAATTTAGACTCAAGGGAATAAGAAGGAATAGTTCCAGAAACAACAGAATTGATCAAATCCTCATCTTCTTTACCTAAAGAGGTTGTTATTGGAACAGGAATTTCATCAAACACTTTCGCCTTTGGAGATGGAACCGCTGGTTTGGAAGCAATCGGCAGCGGCAAAGAGCAATCGAGACCTTGCCCACATGGCAATTTGCTTGAATCTTCCTTAAGAAGAATCCCTTCCGCCGCTGTCTCCTCAACCTCATCATCATCGTCGGCAGCCCATACATCAGTAGGAGGGCGTAAAATGAGGGACTGGACAAAGTCAATACCGAAGAAGCCGAGAAGATAAACAAAGGAGGCAATAAACGCAACAATAGCAGAAATTTCGGACAGGGAAACGACATGGAGAGGTGTGGAAGTGCGAATCTTCTCACGCCAACGGCTTAGCAGAAAATAAACAACCCAAAAGAATACGCTGAAGGAGAAGGCATTCGTTAGGTAGAGAGATAGCGGCAATGCCTCGGAGGCGGCTTTTTGAACACTCTCATCCTCCACCACTTTTAGTTTAAGGGTCTGAATGGGTTTTCCGGTGGTGGGTCGGCGATGAACCTCCATGTAGAACGGCGGCGAGCGCTGGATGAAAGGAGAAAGAGCGAGAGGAAGAGAGTCAGAGAGAAACGTGTTTTATGTTCGTTACTTCAGTATTGAAATTTGAACGGAAACGAAAGAGTATATATATAAAATAAATACGGAGAGGTTGTTAATGTTGACAGAGTTTAATGTGAGTGGGGAGGGTGCGTTGCACGTGATACATTTTATTGTTATTATTATTATTATTAAGCTTAATTAATTAATACCACTTCTTAAATTTAACTTGTTTGACTTTTTTTTTTTCGCTTTTATCACTTTTAGAAAATTAAGATAACATTAATTACTTTATTTCAGTTTTATTCTTACCTACGTATTTCTAATTAAAATTTTTATAAAATTTTGTGTTTTTTAGTTATATTAAAGCATAATTTAATTTATATTCAATTATTTTCTTAATTTTATAAAAAAACCAAAAAGATATTAAAATTAGCCGAATAGAGATAATAATAGAAAGTTTTAAAAGATAAATTGACAAAACAACTAAATGTAATATGATTAATTTTTTCATTAATGTGAAGAAAATGAGATTTGAGTGTGAATTTTATCCGATGCTTAGAATTTTCAATGAATCATAAAAAAAAATGATGGAATGGTCAAATACTCAAATCAAAAAATTCACAAATTGTTCTATAAAGGAGTGTCTTTCCTAGCTGCTTCTTTGTCTCTTTTGTGTACTTGTTAAAGCTACTGTTTTTTGTCTTTTGTTATTCTTTAATTATTATTAACTTAATTTTGTCTAACAAATAGAGATAGTGCGCTAAGAGAGCCAAAAACCTTTACGCTCTATGGCGAGCCAAAAACCTTAACATGATCATTATTATAATTATTATAATCATAATCAACAATAAAAAATTAAATTTCCTAATAACAAAGACAACCAGTAAAATTAAAAATACTTAGTGACCTAATTATGCAATATGTTTTAAACTACAATGTACTGCAATAGAAACAATCCAAAACAAGTTTATACTAAAGAAAAGAAGCAATAATTTAATAGATATTTGATATCGAGTTTGAGGGCCTTGAAGACTTCTAAGGTTATTAGGTTTACTAAGCTACTGTTATCTACGAGTAGAGTGGCCATATTACAGATTTTTAGAACCGAAACTGCCCGGAACCGGTGGGAACCAGAACCGGTGGCCTACATTCAGTTCTGGTTCCACCATTTTTGAAACCGTGAACCGGCGATTTTAAGAACCGTTCGTAACCGACAATTTTTCAACCAGTTAGAATCGACGATTCGAACCGGCAGTTCCAAGCAGATTTTAAATTTTATGTCAAACAGCTAGAATCGGCGGTTCTAGCAGTTTCTTTTTTTTTTTTAATTTTTCAAATAGTTTTGTGAAATCCCCAAATTATTCCTCCTTACAACTATAAATGGCACATAACGGCTAATTTTAAGAGTATTTATGAAAAAGTAATTTTTTGAATTTATTATAAATACCCCTTTACATTTACAATCCCCTCACACAAAATTATCTTTACTCTCTCTACTCTACAATCTCTTCAATTTTCATTTATAAATTATTGTCTAAAATATTGTAAAATAATTTCTTCAAAGTCCAATCTCCAATTATTTGTCCAAATTATTGTCAATTGATTTCTTCAAATTCCAATCTCTAATTATTCTCCCTAGTTTTTTTTATTCAAATTTTCAAGTTACATATTATTTTCCTATAATAGCAAGTAGAGGAAACTCAAGTTCCGCTAAAGGTAAGGGAAAAGTTAGAGAAACACAATATTCATCTATCCCTACAAGCGACGTCTTCGATTTCACTCTCGACCAATATGATCTTGAGGGATATCCAAATGAAAATTTAAAAATTTCAACTCAAGAATTTGAATCTTGAGGGATAGACTTTTTTTTTAAAGAAAAAAATTAAATTAAGTTCAAGCCTATTTTTAAAAAATAAATTAAGTTCAAGCATGTTTTTAATTTTAAGAGTATTTTTTTTTAGAAATTATTTCACAAATTTTTAAATTTTAAATTTTGAAGAAAAAATGTTCTCTAATTTTTTATTGTACAATTATGCGATTCGCCGGAAACTCGTCGGAACCGTCAGTTTTGGAACCGTTAAGAAATCAGAATCATAATCATAACCGTTCAGTTTCAAACCGTAACTAGAATCATCAATTTTTGGCTCGGTTTCGATTCTAAATTTTTTGAAACCGGAATCGTCAATTTTGGAACCGAAACCGGTGGTTTCGAAAAGCGTGGCCACCCCTATCTATGAGGATTCTTTGGACTTTATAATTCTCCATCATGCCTTCGACTACTAAGGCATTGGAATGTGCGAAATGAATATGCTTGACATCCTCTTCGGATATACTGATGGGTTTGCGTAGAGGTTTGACTGCTCTCTCAGTATGCACTGAGTAAATTTTCTGTGCATGCCTCTTTCTTGCCGAGCTATTGTTTCCTCATGCAGTGGCACCAAAAATCAAGTTGATAGTACCGAGGGGTTCGACTCTTATCAATTGTTAGCCCGCTCTCTTAGATGACTCTACTACCGGCTCTGCAGAGCTCTTCTAGTTCCCGTCTTCCCTGATGAATCTTTTTAACACTCCTCTTTGGATTAGGCACTCGATCTCCTTCTTCAATTGACAACAGTGCTCTGCATCATGACCTACATCCTTGTGGAACTCGTAATATTTATTTGTCTCTTTGGGTTGCGGATTCCTCTCTCAATTTTCTCGAATAATTGAAATGAATTTTTTCTCAGTTGTCTTTTAGATAGCGTAGAATATATGTCCGGCTCTTGTCAACTTCCCCAGGTCCTGCAGCGGATGCTTTCTCCATAGCGTCATGGAGGATTTGACAGATATTTTGCAATGAGGGGCGAGCTAACATACTGCAAATCTAATAATTTTTCAGTCCACGCTTACCGCACCAGTTTGATAACTTCAAAATATATTATTCATAGAGACATGGGAATTGCAAAATTATATTGATATGACCAATAGTCATTAACCCTTTTTTGGAGAAGGCTTTGATCTAATATACAGGATACTAGATAAAGTTGGTTTCATGAGTAATTGAGGGAGAGATATTAGGAGCATTATTTCCTAATATTAAGCCTAAATCATTTATTTACTATTTGGCCCTTCACCTCTATTTCTCGAGGGTCCAAACAGAATAGGTGTCTATTTCTTAACATGATCATTTTTATCATCATCATAATCATAATAAACAATGAAAAATTAAATTTCCTAATAAGAAAGACAACCAATAAAATTAGAAGTACTTAGTAATCTAATTATGCAATATGTTTTAAACTACATTGTACTCTAATAGAAACAATTGAAAATAAGTTTATACTAAAGAAAAAAAAAAAAGCAATATTTTAAAGCCAATATCTATTAAATAATTTAGTATTTATATTCAAAATTGCAAATCAAATCAAATTAACTAAATAATCGATAATCACACACAACATTAGAGGTATCAATATGGGTCATGACACGTGAACACAATTCACCTAACACGTGAAATACACGGGTTAGAATTGAGGTTAAACAAGTTCGTGTCATATACGGGTCACCAATTTATGACAAGAATATAAACGTGTCGTGTCGCGGGTTGACATGCGGGTTGAGCGAGTTGATAAGTGTTATTTTTATAGTATTTTTAATATGGTTTTTATTAGGATTTTTAATATTTTTAATTATTTTTATTTATGTTTTTGTTTAAAGCTTCTTTGAATCATATTTCACTTGATCCCAAGGAATTTTAAATGTTTTTTAATTTCATGCTAAATACAGAGATGATTTTTAATTATTTTAGATTTGAAAATATTTAGATAGTTGATTTGAGATTTCAAGAGTTGAAAATTATCAATTAAGTAAATTAAAATGGTTGTTTGCGTTTATCAATAATCTATTGAAAGAAGAAAATGTTATTAAAATTCAAAATTTAAAAGTGTAGGAGCAGTGATTTGGAAATAGTCTTACCTCTTGGCATCACTATTAATAATCCTATATCACTAGGGGCATTATTGAAAATTAATTCTCTTTATAGAATTTAAGAATTCTAGGAATCGTTTTCATTATTTTATTTGTATTGTTGTAGGCTATATATATAGTATACAGAATCTGTTACAAGAGATAATGCTATATTATTTACATTTATCACAATATAACAAACTATCCTTATCATGCCCCCTCAATTTGAGCTTCTGGAGTGGAAGATCGAATTGATAGTTGATACATTAGTGCTCGATGTCTAGACTTTGGCAAGGGCATAGTTAGTATATTGGCTAACTGATCCGTTGAGCTAAGAAATTGCACATTTACTTCCTTTTTCATGACTTTATCCCGAACGAAATGAAAATCAACTTCAAGGTGCTTAGATCTCGCATGGAATACAAGATTGACTGATAAATAGGTGGCACCATTATTGTCACACCATAGGTCGGAAATTTGAGAGGAATCAAAGCCAATATCTCGCAACAAAGATTGAATCCATGTAAGTTCAGTGATTGCAAGTCCAATTGCACGATATTCAGCTTCAGTAGATGATTTAGCAACAGTTTGTTGTTTTTTTGAGCACCAAGAAACTAAATTATTACCAAGAAAAATGGCATATCCAAACGTCGACTTTTGGTCATCAAAACTGCTGGCCTAGTCAGCATCAGAGTACACATTTAAGTGGGTGTTTGATGACTTTCGAAGAAACAGACCATGTGTTGCTGTTGCTTTCAAATATCTTAAAATTCTTTTTACAAAGGACCAATTTTCATCAGTTGGGGCATGCATAAACTGAGATACTCTGTGGATCGAGTAACATACCTCTGGCCGAGTGAGGCTAATATACTGCAGTCGTCCCACAACACTTCGATAAAGAGCTGGATCATGAAATACTCGACCATGGGCTGTCATCTTTTCCTTAGAGCTGGCTGGAGTAGAAAATTCTTTTTACAAAGCGACAATTTTCCATTTCAGTCTGGGCATTGCATAAACTGGCCAAGATACTCTTGTGTGCTTCGGAGTAGCATCCTCTGGCCGAGTGAGGCTATAATACTGCAGTCGTTCCCCACACACTTCGATAAAGAGACGGATCATGAAA